GTGGAATCACGATGTCGGCTCAGCATCGTGATGTCTATCAGCCATCGTCTATCGGCCCAACCCTAATGCCTAGTCATGCTTTTTAAACTATACACAGTCTCCATGTGCGTAATCTTAAACCTAATCTGAAACAGAAGTTTAAAACACATTTCATATTGAAATGTGGATTACCTCAACATATCCATCTCATACTTCAAGTTCTTCCCGCAACTGGTCTGATTCCTGGAAGGGGGCAGCAAGTTCAGCTCCAGATGCAAAGACATGTATCTGAGAATCTAAGATTAGCCACAATAGCGGAACTAAAACTAGGCCATTCCTCACCTGTAATCCACAGGGTGGATAAAGTCATCTTTAATAAAGCTAAGTCCTGCAGGAAAGTGTCAGACCTGGTGAAACGGGTGCTGTCGTACACATTAGACTGGCATGTTTAAAGAACCAACAGCCGTCTGGACTGACAACGTCCCATCTGGGTTTTCAACTAATGCTTTTCCGGTCTCGTTCATTTCACACTTATCAGTGAAGCGCACTGCGTCAATCAGAATCACAAATGAAGCACCCTCAGTCCTCATTTTCAGCCCAATGTTTACTTATGTGCAAATCACGAGAGACAAACTACATATAGCTGTGCCCCCAAAATAAATAAAAACCTGTTCATTCAAAGAATACGACCACTTCTCATTCTAACAAAGCTGCTTTCAGTCTTTCAACCATGCCACAGGAGCAGCAATTTTAGCTACTGGGTAATAACAATGGCAGCTTTGATGGGGAGGGAGAGAAGAAATTAAGTCTCATCTCTTTTTTTGATTGCTCATGTGTTAAACTGGTAAGACACGTTTTATATGTAACTGCATGAGTGGATCTGTTAAACAAGAGCTTTCTTCTAAAGCTCTAAATCTGAATGATAACATCAGACCTGGACTACTAGGAATAAAGCCATCTTCAAAACTAATGATGGATATTTAATGTCTCATTAAAATTGTTCTAAATCACTATCCAATCAGCAGAGAGTAATTAAGGTGCATTTGTTATTACAATGAATCAATGTTTCCTTTTAGCGTAACATAGATGAGGACTATAATAGATGAAGATTGTTTTAGATGAATGGAATGTGTGTTTATAATGTAATGCATAATAACCAGTAACCAAAATCATTAGAATAAGTCATTATAATTAGAAAGACAATAATATGAAATGACCATCATATTTTAAGTTGCTGTCAAACCTACAATACCATTCAAATGTTGGTTGATCGAAATTCATCAAAGTGACAATAAAAACATTTATAATATGGTTCGTCTGGTCAGAGGAGAACTGGCTCCCCGACTGAGCCTGGTTTCTCCCAAGGTTTTTTCTCCATTCTGTCACCGATGGAGTTTTGGTTCCTTGCCACTGTCGCCTCTGGCTTGCTTAGTTGGGGACACTTCATTTCCAGCGATACCGTTGACTTGATTGCAAAGATACTATTTAAACTGAGCTGGATGTTGACATCACTGAATTCAATGATGAACTGTCTTTAACTGAAAAATTTGTGTTTACTATTGTCATTTTGCATTATTGACACTATTTTCCTAATTAATGCTGTTCAGTTGCTTTGACACAATCTGTATTGTTAAAAGCGCTATATAAATAAAGGTGACTTGACTTGACTTGACTATAAAAGATTTATATTTCAAATGCTGTTCTTTTGAAATTTCTAGTAATCAAAGAATTCTGAAAAAATGTTCAACAAATTTCACATTGATAATAAGAAGAAATGTTTCTTGCACAAGGAAATCAGCATATTAGACAGATTTCTGAAGGATCATGTGACACTGAAGACTGGAGTTATGGAAATTCAGTTTACAATATGTAAAAAAAAAAAAAAGGTATTCTAAATTGTAACAATATTACTTTTTTACTGTATTTTTAATCAAATAAATGCAGCCTTTTTTTCAACTTTTGAACAGTAGTGTAACAGTAGCATTTTGTAAGGACAGTAACACCTTGAACTAAAAGTTTTAATAGTGTAAATTGTCTGTACATGTATAAGGGAATATGTATATTTTTAGATGTTCTACCATTTTTAATCACTTAAAGAGTCAAGCAATCTGACCAATTATTTTTTTCAAAGCTGAAATGTTCCACATAATCTCTCACGAAATATGAGCTCAGCTTGTTTAATGATCCTAATTATTTAAGAATAAGAAACATGCAGTTTAAAATAAATTTGGCACTTGACGAGTGTAATGTCATTACTATTTCAGAGCATGTGCTGTGTAGAGAGTCAAGAGAAGATACATACCCTCCAATCTCTGAATCTTGGCCTTGACTGAGACGACCTGTTCAAACGGAGAGACGCGCAGCTGGAAGCAGGTCCCTGTCAAAGTCTCAATGAACAGCTCCATGGTCTCACTGAAGGGCAGCTTGTAGTGCACCACACCTACATTGTCATCATTGAAAAACGGTGGGTTCCTCTTGTCAGTCATTATTGCAAAGGACAGGGCTCAGGATGAGACAACAATGAACCCTGCCCAAGGTGGAGGAGTGAGGGCTGAGATGTCGCCTCCGTCACAGTAGAAACACATCATGCACGGAGCTTTGGGCTGTGGAGAATCAGAATCTTTGAATTACCATCTAAAAGTGTTATTAGGTGCATTTGAAAATATGAGTATGTTTTATATTTATTTATACTA